AGGGTTTGGGATTCAGGGTTTAGGGGGGTTAGGCTTAGGTCTAAAGGGCTTAGGGGTTCCTTTTTCAGGGGACTGTAAGGGCTCCTTTAAAGGACTCTTAAAGGGTTTAGGGGTTTAGGGTCTAAGGGTCTGTGCTTTGAGGTAGTAGGGGTGGGGATTTAGGGTTTCGAGGTTCAGGTTCAGCGAGGTTTCAGAAGGGTTTCAGATAGCCGTCGAGGGTTCTATGTATGGGGGTTGACAAGGTTGAGGGAGTGAGTTAAAGTTAGGGGTTCCTCATCCCCAGACCCCCGGGAGGATCTAGAAAGTAGATCCCCCAATTTGCGGCCGTATACTACTAGGGGTACTTTCTAGGAACCCTCATTAAGGGATCTACTATTTGGATCCTGACGGGGGTCTGGGTCGAGGCGTTCTTATCATAGGGGTTTCCCGATTTTTCTTTTGGGTTGAAAGTAGAGACTTTGGGATGGTAGACTGCTTGGAGGGTCGGGGGACTTAGTAACTGGTTATTTTTAGGGACTTATAAGTACCATAACCCCAATTAGGGTCCCTTTTAGGGTACTTATAAGTCTACTTACTGCCTACTTACTAAGTCCTCCGACCCTCCAGCAGGGTGCAAGGTTCTTCGGCTGTGGGCTCTGGGCCTCAGCCCTAAAACAGAAGCGCTGATAGACCCTCAATCCTAAACCCCAAACCCTAAGTCCCCTAAGTCCTCAACAGGGTGCTTGGGGAGTTTTATGCACCTTTTGCTTCCCAGGCTTCGCGGATCTGCGTTGCGGTGTTCGTTACCGGAAGTTTCGGGTCGCATAAGGGTTGAGGGCGTTTTGGTGCCGATGGAGGTTTGGAGATGCTTAGGGGTTTAGGGGTTTGACGGTTTAACATAGGAACCTCGTAGGACCTGGGGCCGCCCAGGGTTTCTTGGTTAGGTTCCTACATTGGGGGCCTAAGGGTGTCGAGGTTTAGGGTTCAGGTGCCTTTGCACTTCCTAGTGGGCGACAGCTCCCAGCTTCGAAGCAGGGCTTCGCTGAAATCGGAACACACCCAAGAAATATGGAACATCCCTGTCCCCATAGCCTTAGAACAAAGCATGGGGAATCCTAACAATCATCATCCGAACTCCGTGTCCCAACTTGCTGGAGTTTGATGTTCTCAAGCTCCGAATCCTGAACTTGTAAAATTCGGATTCGGGTTACGGCTTCTGTAGGCTGCAGATTCAATCCGTCAGCTTGTCATGCGACAAACAGACACGCAAACGTGTTTTCCACTCCCTCACTACGTTGGTGCTGCTAGCATTGCTGTTGCTGTCATGTTTGTTGTTGTTCGTGTGGGTTTGACCATGCGACAAAAGTCATACTTGAGCCGGCTACAGAGCATTTTCTCCACAGTTACCCAGAATTCTAACACCAAAGCTAGACGGCTATTTACATGAAGTTCTGAACCCCAGACCCGTCGAAACACTAAAGCCTGAACCCCTAAACCCCTAAACCCCTCGACCCTAGACCCCTAAACTCTAGAAAACCCTCGAAGCCCTAGACCCTAAACCCCTTACCTTAAAGTCTGAGCCAAAAACCTTAGACTACCTAGACCCTGAACCCCTAAACCCCTAAACCCCTAAACCCTAGACCCCTAGAAGCCCTAGACCCTGAACCCCTTACCTTAAATTCTGAGCCAAAAGCCGTAGACTCATCTTGTCAACGCAGTGCCGATCCTCGGAGTTTCATGAAGCTGGGTAAGTAAGGCAATATTGGTCCTAGGTCGCAGTAGGGAGACCCCTTAAAGGGGACCCTTCTTAACCCTACTTCTGGCTCTCTTATTGAGAGGGTCTATATCCCCAAGGGTCATTGGGGCCTTAATTTGAAACGCTGCGCGTCGTCCGCCTCGGCCCGGCTGTACGCGCATGCGGCGAGTGGCTACTATCTGCAGCAAGCTCTTGTAGGAAAAAAGTAACAGTTGGAATCGCACTTATAGTAAAAGTAATGTTCATAGCAACACGAAGCAGGATGATTGTGAGTAGTATTAGTAGTGGTAGTATCAGTACGAATTTTGGTGTCGTCATTCCGAAACACTGGATACCAAGACTCTCGCAAGCGGCGGGATGCCTTAAGTATGGGCCGTTGAGGCTGTGGATTTCGTGGGCGTCTTGGATTAGGGAAGCATCACAGCCTTTTCAACCACGTTACTCCGCCTATCCCAACGAAAGGGCGTCTAAAACAAGCCTGAGACGTATATAAAGATGCTACATCGAAAACTCCAGAAAGCTCGCACCTGTCAGCGAGCGGAGGAGGGGCGGCAGGGAAGGGGGAGTGGGGGGGGCGGGAGGGGGGGGAGGTCCGAATAGGAACCTCTGACCGCTTCGGCCGGGGCCGAGGCGAATAATTAGAATAGCGGGTCCTTTAAAGGGATCCTTAAAAGGGCTCCAGAAGGGATCTATAGTAGGGTACTATAATATTGGGGCCTTAGGAATTAGAATAGGGTTCTGGGGTATAATATACCATGCTTCTAGTAAGGAGCCTTCGAAATAGTATAGGTTAATACTAACTAAAGCCCTTATCTTGCTTGCAAGTCGCTTAATCGTGGTTTGAAGCTTTTCTAAGCATAATTGCCCCGTTCATAACATTAGTTGCTAGTTACCAAGTTCCATGACCCTTGCAGGAAATCTTGAACCTAAACCAACGAACCTGTGAGCAAAGTTGGCGTATTTAATTACATCCTATCATCCTTTAAGCTTTAACCCCCCCGAAACATCCTTCATGATTTCTTTCATAGAGCCTCTTACCGGAACCCTGCATTTTACATAGACCCGTTGATAAGAACCCTTTAAGTTACTTAGCTCCATGGTCTTTAAAAATGAAAGGACCCCTGTGCAGGTCTTTGGCTCCCCTCTCTTGGGGCTCTGGGGCGGACCTCCAGCTGTCCCTGCGGCCCAGGCGAGAGGTTTAGGGTTTAGGGTTCTGCATTTTAGGGTTTTGGATTTAGGGTTTCAAGGATTACTTGGAGGGTCGGGGGACTTAGTAACTGGTTAAGTTGGGGAGTGATAAGTACCATAACCCCAATTAGGCTCCCTTTTAGGGTACTTATAAGTCTACTTACTAAGTCCCTGAACCCAAAACCCTAAACCCTATAGTACCCCTATAGAGCCCTTTAATGGAACCCTTACAATCCCCTTTAAAGGAGCCCCTACTTACTAAGTCCCCTAAAGACCCTCCAAGTACTTACAAATCCCTTATCGGTCGCCTTATAGCTCCTTTAAAGGAGCTCGAAAAGCCGGAAGCCCGGGGATGAGGAGCTTCGGGGCTAACTCTACTTGGAGGGTCCGTGGACTCAGTAAGCCACACAGCGAAATCGCTCATTGCCGACCTCCAGTCGACATCGGCATGATGCTTTTGAGGTTACTTGGAGGGTCGGGGGACTTAGTAAGTAGGTAGTAAGTAGACTTATAAGTACCCTAAAAGGGGACCCTAATTGGGGTTATGGTACTTACAAGTCCTTAAAATAAGCAGTTGCTAAGTCACCCGACCCTCCAAGTAAACCCTGAAACCCTAAACTCCACATCCGAAGCCCCAAACCCCCTAAACCGCAAGTGGTTCAACGACTTTAAAAACCGCCAAACACCCAAGCCCAAGCCCCAAATCGGACGCATCTGAAACCTGGGATAGGGATGCTTTAAGGCTTCGGGGCCAGGGGATCTCCACTTCCAAACCTCCAAACCTAAAAACCCCCTGCACCCCAAGCCCCATACTCGAAACCCTAAACCGGCCCTCAAAAAAAAACTCTAAACCCCAAACCCGAAACGCTAGAACCCAAGCCCTTACAGTACCCTTATAACTCCCTCATCGGAGCCCTTAAAGCTCCTTTAAAGGAGGACGAAAACCTTCATATAGATCCCTTATGGGACACCTTTGTTGCTGCTTCAAAGGAACCCTAAACCCTAAAACCCCTAAACCCTAAACCCGAAAACCCTAAACCCTCGTAAAGGAACCCTAAAATCCCTCATGTAGATCCCTTTGTAGGAACCGTTTCTGCTGCTTTAAAGGAGCCCTGAACCCTAAACCCTGAACCCTCCAAACCCTGAACCCTAAACCCTAAAACCCTAAGACCCTAAACCCTAAAACCCTAAACCCTATAACCCTAAACCCTAAACTTTTTTTGAAGGAGCCTTAAAGCCCGAATCTCCAACTTCCCAGAGGCCTCACGCTTGGGCCATTCACCACATTCCGTTCCTCCGGCATCTGGCCGAGGAGTCGCCGCCGGGGTTTAGAGTTCCTTTAAAGGGGACTCTGAGGGTTCCTTTAAAGGGGATTCTTAGGGTTCCTTGAAAGGGTTCTTTCGGGATATTACAAGGGTCTAGGGTTAGGGGTGGTTTTGGATTTAGGCGTTCAGGCGTTGGCGGTTCAGAGGTTTAGGGTTTTAGGGGTTCGGGTTCGGTGGGCCCAGGGTTTTTCGCATTTTCGGGGTTTAGGTCAGAGTCTTCAGGAGTTAAGATGTCACTGGCATAGGGCTTGGGTTTACGTAGCTGTAGGGGTCGTAGGTTTAAATGTCTAGAAGGTTTTTGTGTTAAGTGTTTTGAGGGTAGCATATTTAGGGTTTGGGCCGCGCCACGAAAGCATGAGCATTATAATAATTTATCAATCTAGCTTAGTGACTGGAAGTGAGGGCTATAGGGTAGTTAGTTCCTGTACAGTTTGCATGTTACTGACGTTTTGGCTCAAGGCCAATTGCAGAAGCCTAAAAAGTGCTTTCATGGTAGCGGAGCAATCCTGGATGGGTTGCTGCTGTGCTTGCAGAAGAAGGAGAGCGCAGCGCGAGAGAGCCAGGGCCAATTGGGTCCGATTGATTCAAAAGGTAAGGAAGCTGCGGAAGCTTCAGCGTCTTTTCCACAACACTGGAGTGCGGCTCCAGGATTTTCCAAGAAGGTTGCTTGATCGCCTTTCGAGGCATTTTAAGAAAGACTGATGTCTCAACCGGGAAGTCCCACAGGAGTGGGGGCTACCCAAGGAGAGGAGATGTTACTGAGACTGCTTCAAGGGCAGCAAGAGCAGCTTCAGAGGCTGCAAGAGATGATGGGAGCCCAGGTTCATGGGCAACAGCAGCTTGCAGCTGCAACGCAGAGCTTTGCTTCGGCTAGCTCGGCCACAAAGGGACGTGGCTTGATTGATGTGAAAGCTGTGGGGCGACCGAGCCAGCTGGGCGGTACATTGGAAGAAGCGTCGCGAAATTGGCGCCAATGGTCGTATCGTCTTGAGCTTTGGCTAGCCTCGCAATTTCCGGATGCTAGGAAGATCCTTGCTTGGGTCAAGGAAAAGGGTGATACCGAGATTCCTTTGGCAAGCCTGGAGTCGACTTCGATTACGGGCGTTGCCAAGGAAGCGGTGCTGGAATTTAATCGCCAGCTTGAGGTGGTGCTTGGGACGCTTACCAGCGATGCGCCTGGGGACATCACGATGAATAGTTCGACTGGGTCAGGTTTGGACATGTTCCGGAGGCTGCACGCCCGCCTGGATCCATCGGATATGGTCACCAGCATGAGGTGGCTAAGGTCACTTATGAGCACTTCGGCGGTGGACTCCGTCACCGACCTGGTGCCAGCCATTGAAAAATGGGAGGATGCTCACCGGCGGTACAGCCAGCGGAAGGACTGCGCACCTTTGACGGAGCAGCAGAAGATGGTTTCTTTGATCGGCCTCGCGCCGTCTGAGCTTCAGGGCCACCTGGAGCTAAACCTGGGAAGGCTCAGCAGCTATGAGTTGCTGAGGAGAGAAATGGTGTCCTTTGCGGATACCAAGCGGGCCTTTACGGCCACGGACGGTGCTGTGCCAATGGAGGTGGATGCTTTGAAGGGTGCCAAAGGACCGAAGGGAAAAGGAAAGAAAGGAGACAAAGGAAAGGACAAGGCCAAAGAAACAAGGACCTGTCACATATGCCAACGCGTAGGTCACCTAGCTAGGGACTGTTGGTATAAGGATAGTAAGGGTAAAGGTAAAGGAAACCCGAAGGACCCTAAGGCTCAAGCGGGCAAGGGTAACAAGAACCGGCCAAAGGGCCGAGCCAACGAGCTTGACGGCACGGAGGGCGGCGCCATGGATGGGGCCGGCGATGCCGAATATGAAGCCGAAGAGCCTGATGAGGAAGCCGAGTTGGGCTTTATAGGGGCTCTGGATGGCGAGGGCGAAGCTGACCCTGATGGGGACCCTGCCGATGGCAGGGAAGATGGAAGCGGAGGTGATGGAGCGCTTCGTTCCTCACCTGGTGCCGACACCTCTGGGGCCGGGAGCTCCACGGATCCCCCGGCACCCAAGGCTAAAGCCAAGGCGGGATCAGCCAGTTCCACCCCAGTGGGCCTAAGGATGGCCGATATGAGTGTGCTGAACAAGCTTCAGGAAAGGCGAAGGGAGCTTGAAGCTCAGATCGCCGAGGTGGAAGCCAAGGGCAGTGAAGGTGACCAAGGGGAGCTCACCATGCACCGGCTGATGCTGGATATGGTTAAGGGTCAGATCAAGAGGGCCCAGGAGCTCAAAAGGAACCGAGAAGAAAGGATCTCGGCTAGGCTTCAGGCCGACCTGAATGCGGGTCACAACCCGCGGCTGGCAAAGCGGAAAGAAAAGAGCCGCCAGAGAGCGGCCAAGCACCGACAAAGCCTCAGGCTAGGGCAAGCCAAGGCACGAGTTAGAAGGGAGGAAGCCCTGGAGAGGAGGTTCAATATACCCGAGAGGGCACGCAAGCAGGATGAATATCCGTTGCTGCCCAGTGCTCCAAGGTGGCTGCACCACCCTCTCGCCGGGAAAAGGCTATGATGAGGGGCGAAGGCGAGGACCGCGAGCACTCTGGGGATGAGCTCGACGAGCCCAAGGAAAGGGACTGGAGTGCCAAGCCTCGGCGGCTAACGCCAGAGGGCCGCGAAGGCAAGAGGCTGCGAGAGCAGAAGAGGAAGAAAAGAAGGGCTCAGGAGATGAAGGAAGAAGCGGGTGGTGGACCGCCTCGGTCCCCACCGGCGGGGGTTCGCGGAACCGACCGGCCCAGTGAGCCGAAGGGGCCACCGCCTAAGCTGCGGCCGACCCCTAAGGTTCGGGCGACGCCCAAAGAGCCGAGTACTCCGCCACCGGGCCATGAGTCGAGAAGGAAGAAGAAGGAAGAGGAAGAAGAGGACCTGGTGGAGATGGTCTTCACCTTCATCGACGGCTCGGGGGTTGTGGTGCGAAGAAAGGGCATCTCCGAGCTCACCCTCAGCCAGAAAAGAAAGGTGGAGGAGGCAATCGCCTCTGCACCTTGGAGGGCCGAGCCCAAGTCCCGAGGCAGGCCCCAGCTGAACAAGTACAGCCAGATGTACTCGAGGTTTGTGAACTACCTCAAGGACCAGCCCTGCCGGAGAAGCAGATCCGCCGCAGGGGCCTTGCGAAGCAGTACCAGGCTGCAACCCGGTTTCGCGCAAGGGTTGGAATCCGGAGGAAACTCCGGGCCCTGGCCCCGAGGGGCACGGTGGGCGAAACGATCGCCAACCGGGACCTGGATGATGACAGCGACTGCCACTCGTGCCACAGCAGGCGTGTGAAGACGACCGAGCCTGCAGACCGCTTTTACAAGAAGCGGCGGGCAGCAAGGGCCAAGCAAAGGGCCAAAGAGCTCCTGAGCGAAGACGAGGAAGAAGACCAAAGGGGTTACGATGACCCCGACACGGACTCAGACCCCGGCCACCGACCTTTGGGCCGTGGGCCAAGGAGCCCACCAGGCGGTGGGGAAGGAGCCAAGGAGGCCGTGGTGTACTCCTTTGAGCCAGGGTTTGGTGGGGCCGCTTCGGCTACCACCATCCAAGTGATCCTGGATAGTGGGGCGAGCCACAATGTGATCCCACAAGAGTGGGTGAAGCACCTGGAATGGGGACCCGCCGAAGGACCGGCAGGCTTCCGCACCGCAGACGGAAGCTGGCTGCCAAACCTCGGTACGGCCGTGGTGTCTTTGAGGTCGACCGAAGGGTTTTCCTTTAAGGTCCGGTTTTGCGTGGCCTCGGTGCAGCGTGCGCTTCTCAGCGCGACCCAAGTGCTGAAGCTTGGGCACACGATCGTCCTGAAAGGATCGAGAGCGGTGATCCGTGTGAAAGGAAGCGAGGAGAAAACTTTGGTGTTCAAGATCCTTGGGTCGCCTAAGGCGACGTTTGCTTTCAAGGGTTTCCCGCGGCACTGCCCGGAGGAGTGCAGGTAAGCCCAAAGGGAGGCCGGAAGCCCGAAAGCGTTTTCACCCACCTTGCGGTAGCTCAGGGAGTAGGTGCTGTAGATGTACAGAAAAATTCGAAAGTTTCACCTGACAGCCATTTTGGCGCGGTAGGAAAAGGTAGTGTTTTTCATCTTCCTAGGCCCCCTCCGGTAGCTAGTTCTCCCGACCACTTTTTCATAGGATCGGAAGGAGAAGAGGACAAAGCCGAGGAGGAAAGAAGCAAAGCAAAGGAGAAGGCAAAGGAAGAACCAAGAAGCCCAACGCGCAAAGCAAAGGAAAAGCCAAGAAGCCCAACACGCAAAGCAGAGGAAAAGCCTAGGTCTAACTCGGGCAAGAATCGATCTGGATCCCTTTATGTGGGTGAAGCCGGCGGTGCTGATCCACCAAGGGAGGAAGCTGCTTCAGCGTCCTCCCAGCCACAGGTCGATGAGGGTCAGTCTGCTCAGCCGTTGGCCCGGCCAGACCGACCAACGCCCGAGATGATAGCAGCTCATGAGGTTTCCCACGTTCCATACAGGAGTTGGTGCAGAGCCTGCGTTGCAGGTCGTGGTCGAGCCTACCAGCACAAAGCCTCGGGTCAGGAGTCCACGGTGCCTGTCATCAGCATGGACTACCTCTACTTCAATGAGAGGACCGATGGCGCTGGGCTGCCCACCATAGTCCTTCGCGATCGCCACTCGAAGGCTATCTTCTCGCACCTCCTCCCGTGCAAGGGAACGACTGGGTCTACGCACCCTGAGCGGGCTATCTTGAAGGACCTTGAGTTCCTAGGGTACAAGAAACTGGTCCTAAAGAACGACCAAGAAGCTTCTATCAAAGCTCTATCTCTCGCTGTTCGCAATGGCTTCAGTGGGGAGATTGTTCCGGAAGAGTCACCTAAAGGGGACCACCACGGGCAGAGCAACGGGGAAGCTGAGAGGTCCGTTCAGACAGTGCAGGGTTTAGTACGGACCCTGAAGGCCAGTTTGACCGAGAAGGGCATTACCCTTGAACCCACCTCAGCCGTGTTTGCCTGGATGATTGAATATGCTGGTGTGCTGCACACCCTGTTCAGTCAAGAGCTCCATGAAGGGTTGACGCCTTTTCAGCGAATAAAAGGGCGCAAGTGGCAAGTGGCTTTGCCATGCTTCGGTGAAGCTGTGGACTACCGCCGCAATACGCGCTCAAAGCTGGATTCGCGATGGCAATCTGGAGTTTATCTGGGCCTACGTCTGCAAAGCACGGAGAAGATCGTGGGGACCAACCAAGGGATCTTTGTGGTCCAGAGCATCAAGCGGAAACCCGAGGGCCAACAATGGGATTCCGACTTGGTCAAGGCAGTTCGTGGATTGCCCTGGAAGACCTCACCGGACGAGACTGGAGATGGTGCTCGATTACCCGAGCCACTGACCGTTCGAGCTCAAGTTGAGGAGGGACTGCCTCCACCTGCTCGCGAACTGGTTAAGCCCGAGGTAGCACCCTTCAGACGTACCTACATCCGCCAGTCTGACCTAGACAAGTTTGGGTATACGGCTGGATGCGAGGCATGCTCAGCAATCCGTGAGGGTCGAAGGAGAACGGGCATCAACCACACTGAGCACTGCCGCTCAAGGATCATGGAAGCCCTAAAGGATTCAGAAAGCGGAAAGGCCCGACTGGAACGCGAAGAGCAGCGTGAGAGTGAATTCTTCGATAAGGTGAACAAAGCAGAAGAGAAGAAGAGGAAGGTGAGTACTGAGCAGGAGGCGTCCTCTTCCACAGACCCTCCAGCGGCCCAACCTTCCAGACCTCTGACCATTGCTCGCCAACCGCCTTTGAGGCCAGAGGTTCCGAGCGAACCTAGCTCTCTGCCACCTGGTGGTGCGGCTGCTTCAGCGGCGCCCAGTGGGGGCCAGAAGAGAAAGAGTGAAGGCGGGGGGGACGAAGGTCGTGCCGAGCTGGCACCTCCTGACGCAAGGTCCGAAGGTCAGAAGCGCAAATCACCTGAGAATGCCGAAGGCATGATCGAAGAGCTCATTCTTCAAGAGCGCGAAGGTTTCATTGCCAGTATCGAAAACGAGGAACAACCCACTTGCGACTTAGAGGACGACTTGTGGGAGGAAAAGTTCTACGACGAGAATACTGGTAAAGAGCTTCCCGCCGAAGGTGTCAAGCAAGCTCGCATGGAGGAGATCCAAGTTATCAAAGACATGCAGGTTTGGGAGCCGATTCCAAGACCCCCTGGCGAACGGGTCATCGGCACCAGATGGATTGACATCAATAAGGGGGATGATCTTCGAAAGAAACTGCGCTCAAGGCTGGTAGCACAAGAACTGAAGAGAAAGAAAGGAGTCAACGAAGATCCGAGCTGGACCGAGTTCTTTGCGGCAATGCCGCCATTGTCCTCATTGAGGGCTCTCTTCACACTGGCTACAACTGGGCGCGTACCCGGCCCAAACAAGAAAGCCTTCCAGATGAACGAGCATGGTGAAGTCTGTGTGCTGTTCATTGATGTGAAGAAAGCTCACTTCTGGAGTCCAGTCAGGAGGCGACTCCTCGTGGAGCTCCCACCAGAAGCGGGAGAAGGACCTGACAAGGTCGGCCTTCTCAAAAGGAGTCTCTACGGAACCCGTGATGCACCGAGCAACTGGGAACATGCCATCAAGAAAGTAATGACCGACTTGGGTTTTAAGCAAGGGGTGTCCAACCCGTGCCTTTACTTTCACCCTGAGCATGGCTTACGTTGCAATGTGCATGGAGACGACTTCACAGTCATCGGGGGCTACAACAAGCTTCAATGGTTGATTGAGTCACTTCAGAAAGCGTGGACAATTGAGGTGAGAGGAATCTTGGCACGGCCCGGCTCGAGCCTGCCAGGAGTTACTCACAGCATCTCTGTGCTGAACAGATTGGTCACGTGGACCAACGAAGGGATTGAGATGGAAGCCGATCCTCGGCACGTGGACCTGGTGTTGGAACACCTGGGTCTGAATAACTCCAGCCCTGTTACCACACCACTTGTTAAGAGCACAGGGGATGAAGATGAAAGTCCACTCTCCAAGGAGGATGCTGGACTCTATCGGTCCATAGCGATGAGAATTGGGTATCTGTCAAGCGACAGACCCGACATGCTTCGGACTGTGAGGGAACTTGCTAAAGGCCTTAAGGAGCCCACTCAATATCACTGGAACCTGCTCAAGCGTGCAGGGAGATACTTGAGAGGAGCACCTCGCCTCGTGCAGCTTATCCCTCACCAAGAAGGGTTCAGTGTCATTCAAGGATGGAGTGATACAGATCATGCAGGATGCGTTCGCACGAGAAAATCCACAACCGGGACGGTCGTGCAACTAGGGAAGGCAGTCATCAAAGCCACTGCGAAAGGGCAGGCAGTCATAGCACTATCCAGTGGGGAAGCTGAATACTACGGCCTGATTTCCACCACCAGCGCATGCTTGGGTGAACAAGCAATGTTGGCTGATTGGGGCATCAACTGCCCTGTGGTAATCAACATGGACGCCACCACGGGCATATCCATTGGAAGCCGGAGAGGTCTTGGGCGTGTGAAGCACATCCACACCTGCTTCCTGTGGGTTCAAGAGGTGATCGACTCTGGCCGAGTTAAGCTGAAGAAGGTCCCTACGGGAGAAATGCTGGCTGACCTGATGACAAAGCCTCTGGATGCGAAGCTCATCCAGAAGTTCCTGCAAGGAATGGGCTACAACAGCAGAGCGGGACGACATCCTTTGGCCCTGAAGACGTGAAGCTAACAACCCATGCCTCACCACTCGTGAGAACTGTGCCAGCATCTCACTCGGGAGGCGTGACTGGAAGTGAGGGCTATAGGGTAGTTAGTTCCTGTACAGTTTGCATGTTACTGACGTTTTGGCTCAAGGCCAATTGCAGAAGCCTAAAAAGTGCTTTCACTTAGGGCTCAGGACTCTATGCCTAGGACAACCCCAATGCAACTGAGGAAACACCGCTTTAGACTGTGACCACAGTTTTGACCATGCATGCATGCACCCTTGAAAAGGAGCAGTAGGCATAGCTTTGTTTGCACAAGAAGAGAAAAACTTCCCCACAAAGAGCCCTAAACAATCACTACACCTTCAAGCATAAACACCTGAACCATAACTTTAATTTAGATCAGTGATTCGAACACCCCTTCCCCTTCACAGGGACTTATTATCGAGCCCGTAACTTAGCGGTTCACTACACTGCTCAAGAACCGAGGGACCTGCCTTAACCCCTGAAGCTCTTGCGGTTTCGGGGTTTTCGAGGTTTAGGGTTTCGGGGTTTTGGGGCTCCAAGAAACCAGAGACAGAAGCGGTTGTTAACTTCACAAGATGTCTGAAAAGACGTGGTGAACAGCCCAAGAAAGTTGTAGTCCTTATGAACCCCTCATGCAGGGATTTCAGAATATGCCCAAACTCCACCGATCGAGGGCATAAGTCCTAAAACGGACCTCAAACCCTACACCCTGAACCTTAGACCCTAAACCGGACCTCAAACCCTAAACTGTAAACGGGCTCTATAAGAACCTACGACCTCTGCAGTCCCCACTCCACAAAAACACACTGAAGGAGACTCCAACCCCGCAACCTAAGCAACCTTAGAGTTTAGGGTTTAGGGATTTGGGGTCTAGGGTTAGACATCGAAGTAAACAGGGTCTGATCCTTCCCAACATCCTAAGAACTTGAGGTTTACGGTTTCTAGTGAGGGTTTTATCTGGAAACACCCCATATTAAAAGGCAGCTACATCCTAAGCCTCTAACACTCTAGAAACTTTGCAGAACCCTTGTAGTAATCCTTGTGAGCCCTTATTCATACAACAGCTCCAAAAACCAAAATCCAAAACCGGTAAACCCCCAAAACCCGAAAACCCTAAACGCCTACACTCAACGGTTGAAACCATGGGCCCCTAGTATGGGCCCTTAAGCTTGGGATCCCTAGATACCTACTATATACGCAATAAAGGACAACCCCTCGACTCCTAGACCTTGGATACTGCCACCCCACTCAGTAACAGTTGGATCATATTCATAATATAGATGTATTTTAGGGCTTTAAAGGTAGCCCTATTATAGACTGTTACTGTATGGGGGCAGTATCCAACCTAACTAAGCCCCTTAACTTCTGAAACGAACCCTGACACCTTCAACTCCTACAACCCCTGAAGGAGGGCCTGATCTCTGCCAGCCACGCGCGGAACGCCGTTTACGCTCCGCGGCCCATTGGCGAGGCAAGGCGATAGCTGTTTTTTTTCTTTTTGGTGGAAGTTTCGGGGATTGCTTTAAGGGTTCCTTTTATAAGTATTTTGCAGCATTCTGTAGGGCTTAGGGTTTACGTGTGCAGGGGTTAACATCTTAGGGTTTTTGTTTGTGAGCGGCGCTTAGTTTGGCTGTTCTAAGGTTGTTCTTCACTTAGGTTTGATGATAGCGATTCTCTTGAGTTTGTTGCAGATATTGTTTCGGAGTTTGGGGGTCTTTGCAGTTTTAATTTTTCCGGTGTTTTGGTTTCACAGTTGTTCTATAATCTTATGGGGTTGGGTGTGAAGGCTTCGTAGAGCTTGGTTTAGATTGCGAGGGGTTTCGGGGCTTTGTTGATTCGGATTTCTGGCAGTTCGTGATTTAGTAGAGGCTCAGGGCTTAGGAGGAAGCTGCGCATTCAGGGTCCGGGCTTGGGTACATTTCAACCCTGAAGCCACAGTTACATGATTATTAAGGCCCCTATATTATAGTACCCTTATAGACCCCTTCTAGTAACCCTTATAGACCCCGTTATAAGGCCCCATTCCTCCACTCCCTACTAACCAAAGGTAACCCTAAACCTGAAGGCCTTCATCCCAAAGTTTGAAACCCGAGGCCCTAAACCTCAAACCCTCAGCCCCTACTTGGGTAGTTGTCAAAATCATGGTCCCTTTTTGGGTACCCTAAATATTAGCTGCCGTATGATAACAAGGATCCAAAAAGGGACCCTAATTTTGACAACTACCCACTTGGCTTGTTGAGGCATAGTCAGGCTTTCGGGTTTAAGGTTTTGAAGCGTAGCGTTTAGGCGGGTAGTGTTTTGAAGAACCGGCCGTTTGGCCGCTGACGGCTTGGGTGTATAGAGTCTAAGCCCCAACCTCATGTCTTTTGTGCAAGGTTTCCACCGATTTTGCATTGAATTTTGAGGGGCTCATAGGTAGCTACAGGCAGGGTGGGAAGCTATCTCACTTACAAGCCGCTTTGCAAAGTGCCTGATCCTCCAAGCAAGCACCGGCAACCGTAAGTCAAAGCCCTGTACGAGACCGTTGAATTCCTGGTCCTGAATCTTGAGATGCTTGAATGGCTTTGAGGTTTAGGTTTTGGGCATGTTCACATTGTTTCAGATGTTGAGGATACCAACGGGGTCTGAATGATTGGTAGCCGTATTTTCATGTATATAGACCCTCCATAACAATACAATCTTACTAGAGCACCCTCAATCTCTCTAACCCTAAACCCTAAACCCCGGGCGTTACTTGGAGGGTCGGGGGACGTAGTAAGTAGGTAGTAAGTAGACTTATAAGTACCTTAAAACGGGCCCTAGTTGGGGTTATGGTACTCATAAGTCCCTAAAATAACCAGTTACTAAGTCCTCCGATCCTCCAAGTAACGCCCTAGACCCTAAACCCTAAATGCTATAGAACACCCCGCAATCTCTCTAACCTTAATCCTAAACCCTCAACCCTAAACCCTAAGCGCTATAGAACACCCTGGAATCTTTTCGATGTCTTAGTCTCGAGGTCTCAAGGCCAATGTACCAGAAGGCTTCGTACTTCAAGGCCCTGCAGTCAAACAGTTTATCCAGAGACTCCAATAACCCTTAATGAAGGCATATATCCTTATGTATAGTAGGATCCCTTGTATGATTTAAGGTATAGTCCTTAATTACGGGATATTGGAGTCTCTGGGTATCCTTGTAGTTGGGATCCTAAGACTTACTTGGGGGTTATACGTCCCCTCATGCGGGTTATAACTCTAGTGAATAACTCTAGTTGCCCTACTGATAACCCCACCTACAACTACCCATGAACCTGCAGGGTTCAGAAGCCCCTGCACCCAAGCCCTCAACCACCTGAGCTCTGCTGAAGAGGTTTAGATGGAAACATCTCAGAAGACTCCGCGGCCAGGTTCGTTTCAGAGACAACGGCTTGCGGCCGTTTGACGTGGCACCGTCTCGTTTTTGAATGTCTGGTTTTGGGGAGGGCGTTGTGGTTGGGCGGCTGCTTTGGGTTTCTGGTTTCAGGTTCAGGGTTGTCGGGTTTAGGTTTTAGGGTTTAGGACCCGGAAACCCCGAATCGGACTGCAGTGCAGGCAAGCTCCACAAGAACTCGGCTTTGCGGGGCGCATGTGCAGACCGGTGCCATCTCCTGAACCCTAAAACCTAAAGCATAGGGGTGTAGGGTTGAAGTTTAGGAGGGTCCCTAGGCCCTAAACCATAAAAGCCCTAAACCCTCAACCCCTAAACCCTAAACCCCGAGACCCCGTTGGCCCGCCCCGTCTGATGCCAGGCCATCAGCTTTGCTGTGACGCCCGTGTCAGGTGGCCAGGAGGTGCCGGCTTGTTGTTTACTATAGAGGCCTTAACCTATACCATTTTGGGGGTTCTTTTTTATAATTACAGTATACGGTTTAGGGTTCAGGGTTTAGGGTGCAAGTTGGGGCCTCAACAAGTAGAAGAGGGTTTCAGGATAACAACGAACCGTAAGGAGTATTGTTCATGTGTTTAGATGTAGCAACCTGAGCAGTCTAGTGACACCAGTGCTCCAGTGCCAGTACGCGTGTCATCGCGACTAGTCATTCTGAAGTATGACTGATGAAGGTGACTTGCTTTACCTTTTACTACAGTCTGAGGTAGTGCGAAACCCTGAACCCTAAACCTCAGTAGAACCTAGCAGAACCTATATGCAACTACCTAAACCCTAAACCCTAAACTAGAACCGGGGGACCAAGATCAGGGACCCAGAAGGTCAAAAAACCCATTCCTACACCTTAAACTCTAAACCCTTAACCCTGAACTCTCAAACTCGACACCATAAAATGCTGTACCCTGAATCCACTCGAAACCCTTAACCCTAAACCCACAAAATTCGGAACCGCAAAACCCTGCAAAACCCTGAATCCTAAACCTTAGCCTCGAAAGCTCGGCAGAATCCCGGAACTCTAACTACTACAGAACCTTGCAAGAACCTTTAGAAAGCATACGGAAAGCCACCTTAGTTCCCAAAAGATGCTGAATGCCAAACCCGAAATTAAGCCTTAATGTTGATGCATAGTTCCACGAATAACTTGAGCCTTAATCCTTAAACCCTAAATCCTAAACTTAAACCTTGAGTACCACAAGAGCCCAAAGCCTAAACAATATGAGTCCTAAACCCTAAGTCCCAAAAGACAGTAAAACTTCAGCCAGAGGTGCCTACACCCTAAACCTCAAAACCTAAACTCCAAACCCTAAACCCTTGTGGTTTCCTTATAGAGCCCTTTAAAGGGACCCTAATAATCCCTTTTAAAGGAACCCTAAGAATCCCCTTTAAAGGAACCTTAAGAAACCCTAAACCACAAACCCAGAACCCTAAGTCCCACCACAACGAAAGCCTCAGCCAGAGGTGCCGCTGCAGCGGACCTGGAAGAGAGCCTGGTCTGGTCCCCGGGAGATTCCTTAAGGGGGTTCCTTGAAACGGCGGGTTTAGGGTTTAGGGTTTTAGGGTTTAGGGTTCTTTAGAAGCTTCTTTAAAGGGT